ACCAAGGGCAGCTTTCGCAGGCGGGCAAAGTCCTTACGGAGAGGCAGCGTCCAGTCCAGAGGGACTAAAGCTGTCATTTCTCCTGACGCCTTCCAGCAAAGCATGGAATCGCACAAAGCTGAACTTCCGTTAGGGAAGCTCTCTTATGTTCCCTCTGGAGTTCAGGAGCGATCCAGCGCTAACAAACACAGAATTATTCAGCAGCCACCCAATTCCCAGTTCTTTGCTTCGGGAAAGAGAGACCAGGAAGGAAAAATATTCACCCACTTTTCCTGAGACCACGATGTAAAACGAGTAGATCTAATTTATCGATTAAGGATCCGTTTGGAACTTCAACAATCCCTACCATTTCAGACAACCCAAGCTTAGTACACAAAATTATTACTGCTGAACCTGAACACACATGATTCCACCTACAAAAGACTTAACAAAACACGTAAATCGTTTTGGACAGCACAAATTGAACGAAAAACCCTCACATACATTTTTAACAACGAATGAGGCAGGCAGTGACATGGATCAGGCTAATTTAATGTGTTCACTGAAACCTGCCACTTACACAGCTATCTTCCTGCAAAAGAATGATGACGCACGGAGGAGGGGAGGAGAATTCTTTGTGAAGGAATGCCCTGTTACTTCTCTATTCACTGATCCACACGTACCTTTCCCTTCGGGAGGCAACACCAAAAGAACTGTTACCAAGGTGCGAATCGAGAAAGCAAAGACAGAAACCTAGAAGTTTAAACTTCGAGCCTCTCCTTCTACACACTGAAAATCTGCCTTCATCATCAGATACCCAGAGTGTTTCACACTGTTCGATGACAAAGTTCTTTAGCTGAAACTCAACATGCAATGAGGAAAAAGCAGATGTCTAAATGTTCCTGCTCTAAGTGGAAACTGAAAGATAGAAAAATGTAACTCAGAAGATCACCAGCCCTGTCAGATTGTCTGCATCACAAGCTAAAAGTAAGAGACATTTCACTGAGCCTTCAAGTGCTACAACTCATGAGACCAAAATTACCCGATCGCATCACCGCCTATTAAAAGACACAGGACAGAATTTTTCCGGAGATCCCTTGAAACACAGACCTGTACGAGGCATAACAATAGAGAGCCAATACCGAAAAACAGAAGACCACACGTTCACAGGAAAGGCGCAGGAAAAAAGAGTAGCCGAGTTTTACAGACCTGAATTGCGTCCGGATCTGCGAGCGGCTCTGCCGTCACGGCGTTGCTGTTGGGGCTCAGCTTGTCGCAGGAATCGGCGCCCAGAAGCTCCTCCGCCGACAGCACGGGCACCGGCGGCGGCGGCCAAGCGGCCTCGGGCACGGCGCGGGCTGGCGCCGCCACGCACAGGTTGTAGGAGTAGNCCTCTCGCTCCTCTCGGTCAACAGCGGCGCCCGCAGCCTCCTCCCGGCACTGCAGCACCGAGCGCTGCCGAGCGCTGCCCGCCCTGCCCTGACCAAGGGCAGCTTTCGCAGGCGGGCAAAGTCCTTACGGAGAGGCAGCGCCCAGTCCAGAGGGACTAAAGCTGTCATTTCCCCTGACGCCTTCCAGCAAAGCATGGAATCGCACAAAGCTGAACTTCCATTAGGGAAGATCTCTTAGGTTCCCTCTGGAGCCCAGTACCGAACCACCACTAACAAACACAGAATTATTCAGGGGCAAGCAATTCCCAGTACTTCGCTTCGGCAAGGATGGACCAGGAAGGAAAAATATTCACCCACTTTTCCTGAGATCATCATGCAAAATTAGTAGATCTTATTTTATCGATTAAGGATCCTTTCGCAACTTCACCAATAGCTGCCATTTCATAGAACCCAAGCTTTGCAGACGAAATTTTCCTGCTGAACCAGAACACTCCTGATGCAACCCAAAAAAAACCCTAACAATACATGTAAATAATTTTGGACAGCACATATTGGACGAAAAACCCTTCCCTATACATTTGACAACTAACGAGGTAGGCAGTGACATGAACCAGACTAATTTCATTTGTTCACTGAAAACTGCCATTTACACGGCTACCTTCCTGCAAAAGAATGATGACGCACGGAAGAGGGGAGGAGAATTCTTTGTGAAGGAATGACCTGTTACTTCTCTATTCACTTATCCCCATGTACCTTTCCCTTCGGGAGGCAACACCAAAAGAACAGTAAATAAAGACCTTTTTTCTACACCTGTTATCCAGGTGCGAATCGAGAAAGCAAAGATAGAAACCTAGAAGTTTAAACTGCGTGCAACTCCTTCTATATAGAGAAAATGTGTCTTCATGATTAGAAAGCCGCAGTATTTCAGAGAGTTCGAAGACAAAGCTCTTCAGCTGAACTTGAACATGATATGAGGAAAAAGTTGCCGTCTAAATGGGCATAGTCCAAGTAGAAAATAAAAGAAAGGAAAATGCAATTGAGAATATCACCAGCCCTGTACGATATTCTGCATCACAAGCTAAAGTAAGAGACATTTCATTGAGCCTTCAAATGCTACAACTGATGAGACCAAAATTACCCGAACGCATCACCGCCTATTAAAAGACACAGGACAGAATTTTTACGGAGATCCTTTGAAACACAGACCTGTACGAAGCGTAAAAATAGAGAGCCAAAACCGAAAAACAGAAGGCCGCACGCTCATACGGAAGGCACAGGAAAAAAGACTAGCCGAGTTTTACAGACCTGAATTCTGTCGGGGTCTGCGAGCGGCTCCGCCGTCAAGGCGCTGCTGTTGGGGTTCGGCTTGTCGCAGGAATCGGCGCCCAGAAGCTCCTCCGCCGACAGCACGGGCACCGGCGGCGGCGGCGGCCAAGCGGCCTCGGGCACGGCGCGGGCCGGCGCCGCCACGCACAGGTTGTAGGAGTAGGGCAAGGTGCCCTCGCAGAAGTCGGCCGGG